TCCAATTCATTCTGTAAAACTGCGGTGTGATGAATGACCTGTCTGCGAATTTGGGTGGCTGGTGGCCCCACTATTGGGCAGGGTCTGTCTGCATTCGGTTTTCCCCGGCAAAGTTTGTGTGCTTACCCAAATTAGTTGTGTTTGTTCCCAAACTTGTTTATGCCAGTTACACTTGTCACTGTAATGATGAAATTTATTAAGAATTGCACATAAGCCAATAAAATATAATTATAAAAAGAAAACACTATTTCAATAACTCAGGAGGATGTTTTCAAAAGATAAGGCAAACTATACACACATAAAAATATTGTTGGCTGAAACATAAGGGATGTAAGAGTAAACAATTAGGGGACAAAAATCCCAAAATTCTAGAAAGTTTTTATATGCATATTGTTTCTCCCACAATTCTAGAGAGTTTATATATATACTAGAGGCCTGGTGCACGACATTCATGCACTGGGGGCCGGGGGTCCCTCAACCCAGCCTGTGCTCTCTCAGTCTGGGACCCCTCGGCAGACATCCCCCAAGGGATCTTTAGTGCTGTCACTGTGCTAGCCAGCCATGAGCCCGGCTTCTGGCTGAGCAGCACTCCCCCTGTGGGAGCACACTGACCACCAGGGGGCAGCTCCTGCATTGAGCGTCTGCCCCCTGATGGTCAGTGAACATCCTAGCGACTGGTCATCCTGCTGTTCGGTCGATTTGCATATTAGCTTTTTATTATATAGGATATATATAATTTCTCATGTGTCTGTAAGTTCTTTGTTTGTTTTAAAGAGAATCAATGGAAAGTATTGTTAAAGAATGCATTACAAAAGGAGGTTTGCAATAAAGGTTCATGATCCTACAACTGCAGGTATCACACATTAAAACAAAAGAACCAAACTAATATATGTGAATTCCTGAGTTAAATTTAAATAAAATGTTTATGGTATATAAATCATCCCAGGGGAGGGGTGTCACAATAGATTCATAAGCATTTTACCTAAATGGAATCATACAGTATATATTCTTTTTTCCCTCAGACTCCTTTCACTTCAGTGCCACTGTTTTGAGATTCATCCATGTTGTTGCCAGTATCAATAATTTGTTCTTTTTTATTGCTCAGTAGTGTTCTACTATACAGATATTTCTTTTTTGTTCATCCATTGTCATTGATGGACATGAGGATTGTTTCCGATTTGGGCTATAACAAAATAAAGCTGTTACAAACATTCATGAACAAGTTCCTGAAACATATTTTCATTTTTCCCCAGGTAAATACAGAGAAGTGGGATGGGTGGGTCATCTGACAGATATATGTTTTTGTGAAACTGCCACCTGATTTCCAGTGGCAGTGTATGAGAGTTTGTTACTTCACATCTTAGCCAGCAATTGGTATTGTCTTTTTAAAATTTTAGTCCTTCTAAGAGGTGTGTACTGGTATTGCATTGTGGTTTTAATTTACATTTCCCTAATGACTAATGATGTTGAGTATCTTATCATGTGTTGTATTCATGTCTTTTTTTTTTGGGGGGGGGGAGGTGAAGTCTCTGCTCAAATATTTTGCCTATTTTTTAAGCAGGTTGTTTGTTCTCTTATGAATTCTCTTTACACGTTTGTCAAATATCAATTGACCACATAGGTAAGTGTGATCTACTTCTGGTCTCTACCTTGCTGTTGATGCACTTATCCATCTCTGTGCCAACTGTAGGCATCTATTTTTTTAACGAACTTTTTTTATTTACTGACCAACTCATGTCTGGGTTTGTCAGGAGACTTTTACTGCATCCTAGTGGTTAAGAAACTTAATGCAACAGGAAAGGCAGGAGGACAAGGTAGAAAAGAGATGACCAGGTACAGAAAATAGAAAGCAAAAGTATCACACAGGAAAAGGATTAGAAAAAGTGGGCACTTTTTAAAAAATGGCACTTTCCAACTCTGTCCTCACCAAAGACCACCCCCCCCTTAATATGACCCTAACCAGCTTTGAAAGGTTATGGCTATAAAATAAATAGCATTTATTAGGTCACAATTCATTTGTGTTCTCATATATTATTCATCAAAGGCATATGCTACTGCCAGTGTTTCTGAGCAGTATGAGATAACCAAGGTTGCTTTAACTCCTGCCAAAAATAAACTGACCTTTTAGATATCCTGTGCAGCCTTGTGGTGGGCAATGTTATGTGATCTCTATTAAGCTTTTTGAAATATTCACAACAGCCCCCAGGACTCCCACCATCCGCTCCTGCCCAAACCACTCTCTTTTTAGAGCCATGGGAGATAAACCCGAGCCTAGGGGCTTCACCCGACTTTTCTTCCTTCATCAACCACTTGCTGTGTCATCAGAACTTCAGAAAAATATATGAATTGTTAACATGATGAAAGTAATAACATGTAAAGCACTGTTTGCCAATCCATGGTTTTGAAATAACTCGGAATATCACTAATCATTAGCCCAAAAGATAGCCCCTAAAAACCATGAAAAAGAATTAAATCTCTAAAAGAAACCTGTAACCAGCACTTTTTTCCCCTAAGGTTGTATGGAATTTCAAATAAACACTAACCAGGTTTAACAACTCACAAAAGTCTGGGATACCAGACCTTCAGACAAGAAAGTAAGAAACTGAAAATGAAACACTCCAAGCTCTTTGAAAAGTTAGTCAAAAAGGAAAACCCTGTACAAATTAGATAGATCAATGCTGTCAAATATGACGGCTTGACATGTCTGAATCCAAAAACATCTCAAAGTCAGATCCCAAGGTGAATAAAATGATGGATTCATAGACTGTTGAAATGTCACCTTGCACCCACAGTTCTCAAACAATGATCTTAAGAAAAGGGAAGAGATGTCAACTAATTAATGCGTGAAAAAGGAGGATAGAGGACACAATTACTGATTTCAAATATAATTTTTCTTTTAGTTGTTTTTCTTAAGAATACGAGTTGCTATCAAATGTGCATGTCACCCTTATGCAGGGGCCCCAGCAAGGACTCTCAGAATTACTTCCATTTTAGCACCTGGGCTGCTACACCTTTTAAGTTTACTGCCTTGTCAAAACAAGCCCAAAGTCATCTCTCAACTGAAAACAATGTACCCATTCGTTGAGCTCATTTTGAGGAAGGACTAGGAGAAGAAATGCACACTTAATTCCCAAGTAGCCATTAACTACATGAACTTCTTTAGATTTAAGTTCTTCGGGCCTCAGTTTCTCTCTAAAATGAGTTTGCTCAATGAAATTTAACAAACATGTATTATTCTGAATACAACAAAAACCATACCCCTTGCTCTAAATTCTGGCATCTCTAAATGCTGTGACTACTATGGCTATGACTTTTCCACTATTGGGTTTATGAAGAATGTAATTAGGTTGTTCTAAATTTGATTTTAAGATATGATCTACATGTTCAATCAAGTGTATCAGACCCACTTGGCATGGGGTCCATCACCAGGAAATGGTGCCGTGGTGGCCGATCCCATTTGAACCCTGACAAATGTAGTCAGTGCTGTTATACTGAACTCCATGAGACAAAGTGCTTTGTTAATTTTCATTTTTGCTCTCCCTAAGGCATACCAATAGCAGATCAAGCGTATATAAAGTAATTATCACAATGCTACAGGCTGTCATTAGAAGAAAAATATGCCTTAAAAATACATTATTTCCACTGTATGGTAACACTGTATAGCACTTTACTATCTTCAAAGATATTTCACACTTATTAGATAAGGTTTATCTCAGGTATGGAGAGCTGAGAGAACATGAAACAAACCAAAGCTCAAGGTAAACTTTGTTTCTTCCGAAATTTAACTCCTTATTACTAGAGAAACAGTGTGGTCTACATAATTAGCGATCTAATTGCTGCCAAATTTAAGTCAAAACAATATTAGCAATATTTTAAGAAATGGAAACTACTAACAACAAATCATACTTTTCTTCCATTAAACTTAATTCTTAACAATTACTGTTTAACTTTATTTTTTCTCTCTACTGCAGTAAGAATTACACTTTCCTTGCAACCGCAAAGGAATTTTGTTGACATAAATTACACTAGTAGAAATCACAATATCCCAAGTCCATGAGCCTTTAAACAAAACAAAATGCATGCCTCAGATGTCAGAAGCAAATAAGTGGCAAGACAGGTTTTGAATCTACTGGCAGACTGGGCTCTTTCCTCACCCACATTTCCACATCTTATCCTATGTTCTAATGATTGTGTGCATTTCAACCCATTGGCTAAGAATATTTGAAATGAAGGGCAACAACATGGTTGAACCTAGATGTTATTGTGGAAGTGAATTAAGTCAGTCAGAGAAAGACAAATAACATATGATTTCACTTATGTGTGGAGTCTAAAACAACACACACACACACACACACACACACATAACAAATGAATAAAGAAAATGAAACAGACCCTACAGATACAGATATAAGGCTGATGGTTGCAAAGGGGATGGGGGTAGGGGGCTGGTTGAAAAGGAAAACAAACAAAAACTTTCTGAGCATATATCTAGACTTTAAAATATACTTGCTGAATGTTATTGAATGTTTCAGTAACTGATAAGGGCTCAAAAAAGTGAGGAGTCAAGGAGATTTGAAAGATAAACTACACTTGATCAAAGTGCATAAAGTCTGCAAGAAGTTTAATTATAACTCAGTTCCCATTTTCTTATCATGAAAAAGCATATGACCAAATCTTTTCATTACGAAAAATGTTACAGGCCTAGGAACCAAGGAAATCATCTGTAGAATAGGATTATCTATCTATTCAATAGAATTCCCTATAACCAGAACAATAATTTTAGATTATTCATAGGGAATCAACTGTTATACAGAATGCTTATTTTGTTGCAAAGGGAGTTTACCACGTTGTGACAAACCACTTTCAAACAGCATAAAAGGGTCAGTTTTTATTAGCCGCAATAGTGACTGTGAAATGGTTACCTGAATGGTGAACAAAACCTCAGAAAGTCTTCTCCACTACTTTTTCTGTCCAAGCTCAAAAAATAAAGTGACACAATGTAAGTTTCTGAAGCTTTATTATTTTTATTACATACATTTCACAAACAGAAACCTTCTACCATTACACACAATTCCATAACCAAATGTTTCAATTTTGTCAACATTCTTGAACTATTTACACTGTCTTCCCTTCACAAAAGTGCAATCCAAGACATCTTGACAAGTAATCTTTAATGACAAGAATACATTTTTAGCTGGTTTTAAAGATGCCCATCCATTATGTTTTCTTTCTATTACCTGGAAGGGTAATAAAGTCAACAGGACATGGAGATGAGCTGAGTTAGGCAGCATCAGGTTATAGGAACCAAAACACCGAACAAGAGCACTTTCGCTTCCCTGCCTCCCAAATCTCCAACTAAAATTACTCAACAGCTGCTACCATGAGACTAATGAAAAAAGCAAGCTATAGATACTGACCTGGCACAGGAGAACAGAGGGCAAGTTAAGACATGGTCTTATAGGACAAAATGAAAGATTTCAGCACGTTAGTTTTAGTGGTCTAATCAATTATGTATCAGTTTATCTATTAGTTTTAGGGTTTAAACAACTAATAATATTCTTTTCTGATTAATTAACTTCCCCAAAACAGATATGAAAATACTTCTTACTCTGAAAATGAACTTTTTTTTTTTTTTCAAAAACTAAAATAAAGACTGGAGAAAGCTCTTTCTTAATTAGAATGGAATAACTGACCTAACTCCCCAGTTTCATGCCAATATCTCTTTTCAGGTGTAAACCCAGTACATTAAGTGCTGCAGATGCAACTAGAAGAAAGTGGAGAACTGAGCTGGTCTCAAGAGAATGATGAGACCATCAAAAATAGTTTTCTCACTAAACTAAACTAGGTAATTGTATTTGTTCAAGGTGTATAACTCTTAAAAATAAGTGATAAAAAAGTTAGAGCAGATAACAAATTGCTTTGAAATTATAAGTCACTATGAGTGATTCAGACTATTGAGCACTATTCATCAGAAAAACAGAAGACGGATCTCTTGGGTGACTAGTACCTTTTAATATCCAAACCACAACAAAAATAATCACCTTTTTTCACATATTCCAATTTCCATCAAGGTACTCAAAGCAAAGTAGTTTGAAAAAGCATGGGGAAAATATTAAGGTCAGCAGGTTTCCAAAATAAGTTTTATTCTCTATATTATTGTATAATCCATTATATTTTATTCTCAAATCAACCAAATTTTCCATTTTAGACAGGAATGCGATGCCTTGAAGGCCAAAGATATCCTCAGATGTGATACCTATCTATGCCTCTCCTTTTGTGTAACTGCAGCATCCATAGGATCCTTTTTCATCAAAACAAAGGTCAAAAGCAAGTTTTACCTAATTATGTCATACTTATTTTTTAGGTAGTAGAAAGTGATATAAGGAGAAAATACTGAATGCAGCAGACACTACACTCAGAGCAGTTTTAGACCAAGGAACTTGCTAAATGGAATCTATACATAAACTTTAAGTTTGAGAATAATACTAGCAGGTTTCTCTACAAAAATTTAGGTGGGTTAAAGAACAGCATTACAAATACTTTACTATTCATTTTAAATTCAGAGGTAAAAGCCAAGTGGTGCTCAAAAGACAAAAGAAACTTTTGTACTTGGGTACATGAGAGAATTAACAGGGAAACAGTTAACCCACAATTACAGTTCTGTGTATTACAGACAAATTTGCAAAGGTTATGTCCTATAGACCTGTTGCAGTTGCATCAAATACTGTCAGACCAATGACGATTTTCTGCTTCTTACTGGCATTGAGCAGTTCCCCCACTGTGAAACACTTTTCAGATCATCAAACACCAAACCAGATGCGGTAAGCTGAATTACAATCATCTAAACTGAAAGATGAAGACTATTAACATGTGGGTTCTTTTTAAGGCTGTGTTGTTTCAAACAAAACATCAATGTTCCATGTAGAGCTAAAGCTCACTTGCAATAATGCCTGCACACTTCTGAGAGGAAAAACAACTGTTTATCTGAGGGGAGAAAATGGTATAAACCAAGTGAGTAATATAAATGCTCACATAACTCCGAATTTGGTTGCCCGTAAAATAATTTTATTTTAAGTTTTCAATTAGCATATATATATCATATTTGAAATTATCAAATTCATTTTTGTGTAATATTCCAATCCTATAAGGGCATAGGATGTATGTCTAATTAAATCACCAATATCTAATGAGCAGAAAGCTGTATGTTGAAAGCCCAATGCTCTGACAAAATAAAGACATATAGTATCATCTTTTTTTTCACCAATGGTAAGGTATCATAGAGATCTTCCAAATTATCTACTTTCAAACATATTGTTATACCTTAAATTCAGTGATTTTTCCAAAATGAAATACACTTAAAACAGAAATATTAAAATTATTCTTTTCCTCATACCCTCACAAATAATGTTTTCCTTTCCTCCCTAGGGCCAAATTTTTTATTTTAGAAACTCAGCATTAAAGGGGTAAAACGTTGCTGTCAGCAATTTTGGGGAAGAGAAGTGTGGCCATGAGTGGTTCCCAAACTCACCAGTGAGTTCTGTGGCTGTGAGATTTACCTATGAGAAGGGTCTGACATGAAGTGGCATTTCGACAGTGCAACTTGCATATATCAGTGCTGCCCAAATCATGTTATTATTCATGGATTCTCCTTGGGAACTAATGTGACCAAATTCAAATCACGGTTTTCTACATTTCTGCCCTCTTAAATCCATGTGCATCCAATTCACTTAGTATATTCTCTCTGCTATAGGTCAGCTTCCCGAAAAATATGTGCAATACCAATAGCTCTCATATGTCTCATAATTTGGATATTATCTTCAATATGAAAACTGACTATGAAACTAGAAGAGTGATGGAAATAGCCCTCATGTTAACTTTCAAATAAACTGTCAGTGAGTGTAAACTGCACGTCAAAGTGCGCTGCAGAAGCCAAACAAGATGGACTGACACGCCATCAGCTCCAGGCACAGAGTTACATTCACCTGTCACAAGTCTTCCCACGGCCCAGAGAAGATCTAAAGCGGGTCTTTAAACGGTTGACTTTGAGTAAGAAGAGTGTGCTCCCAAGTCCTACCAAACTCTTGGTTTAGAACCACATAATTCCTTTCTTAAACTCCGCCCATCCTCCCCACCACCTTAAACGCTGCAAGAGAGACTCTTTGTGATAGGGAACCAATACGCCAACTCACAGGACTGTCCACCGGGCTCTGGCCAGGACCACAGACCAACACTGGGGAGTCAGGGGAGGGCAAGGGCAGCCCATTTCAGTGACCACGTACACAAAGGAACTTTCCTTTAAGTTAGAAAAGAAATTAACATCACAGAATGTTTCCCTAGAAAAGATATGTAATAAAGTAATGGTATCGATAAAATAGCTATTACCAAAACAAAGCTTTCATCAATAAGCTTCCAGAACTTTAAAGGAGGAAAATGGCTTCACAAAATGGTAGTCCAGGTTGCCACAGTGTGGACACTGCTGGACGTTGCTGTACTCGGAGAAGTACTGCATCCCGATCCGCACGTCGATCACCGGCTTCCCGCAGTGCTTACAGTTCAGCCGGGCCTGGGGAGAAACACAGGCATGTAAGCCGCCACACCCTTCTGCCTCCCGAACCTGCCCAAGTCATCTGACCCCAAAGGCAAGGCTGTTACAGCCGCAAAACTGACCCAGAGTATAGTACCCTATCGTTTCTATTACCGAAAACAGGGTTGGCAAGGCATGAGATAAGCAGAAGACATACATGAATCAAGTATTCATTAGTCTGAAAGATTAACTCTGATTTCTCTCCCCATATGTAGCACCGCTACAAGAAAATGTAAACTTGTACCGCCCTAAATTTCTCCATTAAAGTCTCCAACAACAGGACATGCCTTCTTCCTCCGAGATTTCAAAGAGTGGCTGAGGCCGACTTCCCCCACCCAAAACTGCATAAACTTCTTTGAAGATTCTAAGTTTATTTTTAAAATTCATATACACGTTTTGCTCTACTCCTAACTATATTTTTATTTTCTTTGTATGAAAATAAAATTTCCCTAAAATGCTAAAGTAAAAGAAACAATCCAGGAAGCAGTGCTGTATTTATCCTGAGGCTTCCAGAACCCACCAGCACAGTGTATCCTCATTCACGCCCAGGCCTCTCTAACGGCAAACACTAGAGGTTTTCACCAACAGGCCTTAGGTGAATAACCAGAAATGATAAAGACAACAGGCTCTCAATTTAGATTCATTCCAAAAGTGTAATAGAAAAGTAGAACCTCATTTTGTCCCTGAAACACTGCCGGTGAGGTGGGTAGGACGGTGAATTTTTAGATCAAACTGAGGCCCGCAGGGGTAAAGTGACACGCCCAAGACCACACAGTCAGGAGGCAGAAAGGCCGAGATCTGAACCCAAGCAGCTTAAATCCAGAGCCCACACTCCGAGCCACTACCGGGACTGCCTTTCTCTAACCTGAGATAGCCTCCCTTTTAACTGACTAACCTCTTTGAGCAACAGTAAAGGTGAGGGATTCTGAGCACACATCTTTAACTTGTTTATTCCTTTCTAATAACTAATCATTGCTTATGTTTGGCTCAAAGTTTGACTGGAACACTTTCCTTGATTCCTTAGTCATGTCTAACACTTAGACCTTCACAGTGACCACAGTTACTTGGTTTTTTTTAAAGCCAAACAGCAATCAAACGTGTTTTCCATTTCAGTAGGGAGGGAGGCAGAAAATAAAAGTCTGGGCTTAAATTGTTTTAAGTGAGAAAGATACAAGAAGTCCAACAGGTTGGGTGTGCAGAAGGCCATTCTGCTTTTCTCCAAGGTAAGGAAACAACCCCATTGCCTGTCAGTGGTGCCCTAGAAAGAACGCCAGCCTGGGAAGTACAGGTTTGACTCATCGCTGTGACACACTTGTGTAAAACCTTCTCATTTTCCAGGCCTCCATTATATATGGAAAACAAAGAGGCTGGACTAGATCCCCCAGGTCCTTCCAAGTGATAACATGCTATGAATTACAGGCCCCACCATGCTTTTATTTCCTTGTTTCTCTAAAGACAGACCTCTCTGGTGTGTATGTGTGTGTGTGTGTGTGAAGAGAGAGGAGCCACTTCCTTTTGTTTCTCACCTTGTGAGCTGGCAGTAAAGCACAGTGAGTATTATAAAATGCTGCCATGAGTAACTGATAAACTGTAATATCTCATTTCCAAGGCCAAGTTTTAAACAGAATAGAATAGCATAAAAGTAGTCAATTGTGGAATTAAATGACAGGCTATGGATGGCCATTTAGGTCTCTCATGGCCCTATTTCACCTTTACTAGTAAGATCACTAGTACAGACGAAGTACAGGTGAAATGCCGACTCTGCCAACATTTTAATTCAACAGACACAGGGTATCCTCTGACTAAACTGCCAATAGTAAGGATACTCTCTTCACAAAAACCAAAGCATGCTAACGATGCAAGACTATGTAGTATACTAATAAAGTGCTTATCCCTTTATTAAAAGCCAGGCGTGGCCACTGAAGAGTGAAAGAAAATATCTCTCCGACCCACAAAGATCAAGGAATTATACAACAAAAGCTTGTTTTTTCCAAGCACTTGGAAATAAACCAAGATATTTCCAAGGATTTTGTTATCTCCTGTGTTTCTATGGACTTATTTAGTGTTTTTGCATGTTACTATTTCCCTGTTTTGCTGGTGACAGCTAAATGTCAGATGCTCTCTGAGCAGTGCTAACTGCCTCTTTCATGTCAACCTCAAACACCTTACAAGGCAGGCAGGTCCTGGGTAACTGTACTGGTCTGACAGGAAGGAAATCCTGTCTGTTACAAAAAGTGAAGCTTTCTTCTTCCTTTTAAATAAAACTTTGCTTATTAGAAACTCAGTACATGTTAACTATATAACACATTAGACAATGTAAGTAAGCAAAAAGAAAGCTCAAGAACCGCTCGGCAACCCACATCCAGAAACCAGCTGGTAACTGGATAGCAGATTCCTTTTTATGTTCATTTTTGACAAATGGGAACATTTATACTCCTTAGAATTTTTTTTACTTAAAATACTGAAAACATTTCCCACATACTTAATCACTACTCTACAATATCCCTTTTTATGACTGCATAGTCCAGTGACCACTGCAGCACACTGCAGTAAACCCACCACCACTGCTGGGCTTTGGGGGAATGCTTCAAATGCTCACTAGTAAAGCAGCTTCCCCAGGCCGTCCGCCCCCACCCCCCCCACCCCTTGCCCAGGTAACTGCAACGCTGACTCTAACTCCTCCATGTTCACCTGGGGACAGAAGCCTGATGTCACCAGTGCTCCTTCTATGGGGGGGTCAATACCAACCTGACAGCACGGAGAGGCGGCCAGGATGTCGTAGGTATACATGGTGCCCAGCTGGTGCCAGCTGCCGTCCCACCGCGACTTACACTTGATGCAGATGATCTTGTGAACCCCCTCCAGGCAGTCCACGCACACCGCATACAGGTGCATGAGTCTCCCTGTGCACAGAGACACAATGCTGAGGGTAGCCATCAAAGAAATCCCCTTTTGCCGCCAAAGGGGGTTAAAAATTGGCGCATCTATCAATTATAAGCAAACATTTTATCATATGGATAAATATAAAAAGCAAAGTAGATATCACATGTCCCCAAGTTGTCCTTTTGAAATAAGGATAAATTCCAACTACTGTCAATGGACCATGTACTTTAAGTTCAATATTTAAGTTTAAATATTGCTTCAATTCACTTTTCCAAAAAAATGCTGCCAGATTGCCAATACAGACATCCAAACTCGAATGACCAAGCCTCAGGTGCGCAGAACCAGCCTGCGGCCAACAGGACTTTCTGCACAGAAGTCTGCATGTGGCACAGAGAGACTGGACCGGCAACACTGGTCTGTACTCGTGGGCTCTCTCACCCACTAACAAGTCCCATGATAAAGTCAAAAGTCTGTCCTGGCACTGCGAGCCCAGAATTATACCACAGCCAAAATTGCTATGTTAACTGTCCTTGTCCTCAAAATTACTCAGCCATCACCACATCTAATTTAGGCACCAGAATTATATCTTACTTGTAAGTGGCATTTTAAAAGGAGTTCAATGTCTTGTTATTTACTGGCTCTTAAAAGCCACATCCCCATTCCTCCATTAGTTATTAACACCTAGAAAAGATGCCACCCAGTTTACACGGAAGGCTTAGGTTAGGGTTCAATCATTGGGAAAGAGTCAGAATGTGCAGGATCTGCTGGCGTGATGAGTAACAGCAACAACGCTGCTCTCTGCGTGGGGATCAGGAAGCTCACTGTGCTAGTAACTACCATCAGGAGCACAGCTGCTCCTAAGTGGCTTCTTATTCAAAATGTGCTGCTCGCTGGCTGGTCTGGGATCGGGCCATTTGAAATGAATAAAACTAAAAAAAAAAAAAAAAAAAAAAAAAAGACCGTAGCCTTTTAGGTAATGATGTTTACTTTGAATTTATATTAGTTCACACAAACACTCCATCCATGCTTTTGTTCCAGCCCTCCGGTCCAGTTTAAGAACCCATTGTGGCCCTCGAGTCAAAAAGTTTGCCCACCCCTGAGCCAGACCATGGCCCATCACTCCTCGGTGCTAAGAACCAGCGTGCTCCTTAAGCTGGAGAAGGGTGTACGGTAGTTCAGAGATCCCTTTTACAGCATTTTGTCTCCTCTTTGAGGACTAGGTCTTACTCATCCTTGTAGGCAGAGTCTAGCATAGTGCCTGAAACGTGGAAAGCACTCCACAATTGTATGTTGAATGAATGGATGGGGCATTTCAATAGCCAAAGACAACATACCCTTGGGGGCCTCCATGTCAAAACTGGGAAGGGTGGTGTGAGCTCTGGCAATACTGTTCACCTCTGCTCTAGGGCACTGAAAATAAAAGGTCGCACATACCATCCCCAGAGTGGCCCGGGAACATTTCAGGATGTTAATTCAAGCATCCAGAAGATTCTAGATAACACTTCATCCCCAGTTTCCCTCCTGGATTTACTGTAATTCTCAACTATGCAGACACACAGGCAGCTGCTAGGAAGGGTAGGGGCAGGGACAGACAAAGGTCAGGTGTTGGTAGCAATGATGAGGTTGACAGGGAGTTTTTGCTGAGGGCTTACCAAGGGTCTGGCACTGTGCTATGAAGCAACCTGAAGCACTGCACTTACTAGTAACCCTCACAGCAACACTATAAAGAAGCTATTATTGTTATTCCCATTCAGATAGGAGGAAGTGAAACTGAGAGAGTTTGAGTGGCTGGCCCGCGTTCATAAAGATAATGAGCAGCAAAGTCCAGACTTCAATTCACATCTGCCTGACTCTTAACCGCTAGACAAACTCCTGGTGTGGACTGAGTCTCTGGATTTGTTTCAGTTACTATTATACATTGTCCTAAATACAGAGAAGTTTACATTTCTGAACTCTAGGGTTGTGAGATCAAGCAGAAAGTGGAGATTCCTGAGAGAACAGTCACCTGTGGTTCTAAGTGGAAAAGAAGTACAATAAAAACTTCCTCATTAGATCCATCTTAATAAATATTCAAGTCAAACAAAAATATCTAATCAGAGGAAGAGTCAGAGAATGAAAGCTGGAGCTGGAGCTGGAGGCTGGGGAGGGCAGTGAGGGGTAAAGGGCATGGAGAAGGGGTGACCATCCATACGGGCAGCACTGAAAATAACAGTTATTTCAGCAGCATATAATCAGCTGCAGCCAGGAACCTGTGGCCTGGAACCTGGCCTTTCTGCTGGAGTTGAACATGCTGTGAGGAATGCATGGCCGGGACTCTGATGGCAGAAATGATTTACACTCGTTTGCTATAAAAAGGACTGCATGGACTTCTCCGAGATGTGACAATAACAACACTGGCACATGTCAAGGTCCCCAGAGAACATGACAGACATGACAGAGCTCTTTATTATAGCTTGAAAGTGCACCTACAACCTGTTCTCCATCTACGCTACTCATCCCCCACTCTAGAACTTCTGCTCAACCAAATGGTTCTCTCCAGCTTTCTCACTGCCTCATTTTTTTAAACCACTATTCCTTTGCATACTGCTTCCTCTCCTTAGCAACAATCACCTGGTGTGGCTAGAACCTCTGCCTAAAATCAGTCCTCCTTTTGATATATACCTTCACATTGCCTCTGACTATGCAGGCCAAAGGGGCACCTTGTTCCTTGGAAATTACAGGACGCTTAATGTACGTAATAGCCAGATGTTACTAGGTCCCCTTGTGGCACTAGAGCCATAGGCCAGGGAATTAGTTATATTTTTATAAAAGCATCATACATCCTAAGGTTATAAACCGATAAAAGGTAAGGACCAAGAGTACCCAGCATATGAAATTCTTAAGTTTGATTGGCTGATGAATGAATTAAATGAAAAGAATTTGTCCATCGTGAATGGAAAAAGAACACTACTACTCTCATGTACCCTCCACCTTTGTATCCTCATTCATCTTCATAAAGAAAATTTCCAGCCTAAAAATGGAGACTAAAGGTGTTTCAACTTACTATCCTCTAAAATTATCCCCAAACAGTATGAAGAACAAGAAAAACACAAAAACTCCATCTTCTGTGAAACTAAGAGGTATCTCAAACCTGAACCAGACTATGAGGCCAGAAGTTGGATGGAGGAATGGTAAATGGTTTACCTTCAAACTGGACAGCGAACACAGGGAGAGTGGAAAGAAGTGCTGAAAGGGAACGAGTCAGGTATACAAGTAATCAATAGTCTATACAGCTTTTTCCATCAAGAAGCAGAGTCTATTTCATCATCCCCTGAATCTGGGCTAGTTTTACAACTTGTTTTGATGAACAAAATGTAATGTTACTCAGGTCCACGCTTAACTTTCTCCCTCCTGGGAACGCCATGTGGAAAGCCTAGGCAAGCCCACTGGGAGGTGAAAGGCACTACAGAACAGGGATGGGCAATTCCAGCTGAGGCTTCCGAAGCCAACTAGCCTGCCAACTGTTAGATGTGTGGGAGAAGCCATCCTAACAAACAATCCATAGAACTGTGAGAAATTATAAATCACCAATTTTAAACCACTAAGGTTTGGAGTGGTGTGCTTTATAACAAAGGCCAAACGATACACGGGATTGGGTGAAACTCTAAAAAAATGCATGAGAACAATCCCTGCAACTTCAGCTTCCTACCCCACTGAGAAGGAAAAGAAATTGCATCCATGAAACAAGAACAGAATACTATTAAAAAGAACTCTTAGAAATTATAAATATGAGGACAAAATCTTTAAACTCAGTATAAATACTGGAATATAAAGTCAAGGGAATCTTCCAGAAAGCAGAATTAAAATAGAGATGAACAATAGGGCCAAAATATAAATAATAAAGGTAAACCAAAAGTAATTTCTCCAAACTTAAGACCATAAGTTCACAAAGTCAAGAAAGCACCCTGTCCAATGAATGAAAAAAAGAAAGACCCATATCATGGTGAAAATGCAGAATGCTAGGGAGAAAGAGAAAATCTTAAAACCCTAGGGGGAATAAAGGAGAAGGAGTAATATTAAATAATATTAGACTTCTCAATAGCAACACTGGAAGACAGGAGACAGTGAAGAAATGCCTTAGATATTCTAAAGGAAAAATAACTGTAACTTGGAAAATTGTAACCAGCCAAACAGCAACTGAGAAGATAGACTCAAGATATCATTACACTTTCAAAATCTTAAAACATCTATTTATCTGCTCCCTTTCTCAGAAAACTCATAGGGGATGTTTAGCAAGTTGAGGGAATAAACCAAGGAAAAAGAAAATGTGGAGTCCAGGAAACAGAAGATAAAAAATAAGAAAGAATTAAAGAAATTCCTAGGAGAGCAACTATGCAGTATAGCAGGTATTGCATGCACAAGGACAGACAGAAGCAAGAAGATGAAAGGTTCCGTGAGGGAAATTTCTAGGGAAAAAATCCATAAAATGTCAGAGGTATGTGGAAATGTTTTTGAAAGGCGGTTTGTATTGCTGCTGGAGAATGAGAACAACCAGCCAAAGATTCAAAAAAGGCTAAGCAAATGGAACATGAAGCAATTATTCACTTCAACAAAAATAAGAGGTCCTTCTATATAGGAAATATAAGTACCTACACATCTTGGCTCAATACTAAATATTTCCATATTAATGGTTTTTAAAAAAAAAAAACATTAAGGATTATCCAAGAATCCTATGTAATAAAACCCTAATATGCAAATCAACCTAACGGCAGAATGACCGGTCACTATGATGCACACTGACCACCAGGGGAAAGACGCTCAATGCAAGAGCTGCCCCCTGGTGGTCACTGTGCTCCCACAAGGGGAGCACCACTCAGTAAGAAGCCAGGCTCACAGCTGGCGAGCACAGCAGCGGTGGCGGGAGCCTCTCCTGCTCCATGGCAGCGCTAAGGACGTCCGACTGCCCAGGGGAGCAGGCCTAAGCCATCAGTCGGACTTCCCCCAAGGGCCCCCAGACTGCAAGAGGGCACAGGCCAGGCTGAGGGATATGCCCGAGTGCACAAATTTTGTGCACCAGGCCTCTAATTGTGATATATTATCCTGAGAGAAAGAGTCAATAGGTAGTACCTAAAATTGGGAGAATGAAGATAACAGTTTTTAAATTTGATGATAAAAACCTGAAGAATCACATAAGATTTAAAAGTCTCTGGGAACTCAGATAGCAGGGATTGGTAGGAAGAAGACAGGTGGGGATGTCATTTTCACTACAGGCCTTTTTAACACACTTTTTAAGTTATAAAGACATATGACATGCATCCCATCTTTACATAAATTCAGTAGTGTTACATGCATTGACAGACTGCTCACCTCTGCCATTCAACATACGGTTGAAATGTCCCTAAGTCTTTTTTTGTCATCCACAGCATTAATAAGCTTCCACCCTTCACCACCAAGGTAATATCTGAGTCTCCAATAATCCTCCAAGTTCCTTTTGTTGCTATCAAGAAAGTCTCGCCCTAACTGGTTTGGCTCAGTGGATAGAGCATTGGCCTGTGGACTGAAAGGTCCCAGGTTCGATTCCGGTCAAGGGCATGTACCTTGGTTGCGGGCACATCCCCAGGAGGGGGTTGTACAGGAGGCAGCTGATCAATGTTTCTCTCTCATCGATGTTTCTAACTCTCTATTCCTCACCCTTCCTCTCTGTAAGAAATCAATAAAATATATTTCTAAAAAAAAAAGAAAGTCTCATCTTTCATAAATGTCAAGATTAATTCAAATAATCTAAAAACACCCTGACCCTCTCCAACCCCTACTTTCATATGCTTACAAGGATCAAAGAGAATACTAGTACATATCTTGCTGGGCACATTAACACAGGTTTCAAAGGTAACTATTTTACAGTGAGTGACATTTTTGTGCATTTTCTTCTCCTAAATTTCCTCCCAGTTATGAAGAACTATACCCCAGGAATCCTCTCTTCAAATTGCAATAGAACAAACACATGAAATTACCCACCAGGACAACTGTTCTAGGGGCACAGTGACGTTGGAGTAAAGCAGACCTCCACCACCTCCACCACCTCCCTGGCAAAGCGGAAATATTCACATGTGACCTAGCCCCTGACTAGAACAAGAAAGCACCATCAGTGAACACTGAGCCAGAACAGAGGCGGCCCATCTTGTTTGCTTTCCAGCTCGCCACAAACAGAACGCAGGCAAGGTGAGTGAACACCTGTACCTTGGAGGTGACAAGGAACATCATATTCGATCTCATCGTGTCTCGATGGGCTTAGGAACAGAGTCCCGTCCACCAGTGGGAACTGTTCGAACACCGGGAGCGCCCGGTGGCACAGGGCACAGTTAACAACGTTTCTGTGGCTGGCGCTGAGGGCCGCAAGAATGAACTTGCGCAGATCCTCGCCCTGGCCCATTTGGGCATCGTCTTCCATCCGCACGTGGAAAGTGTTCAACTTATGCCTGGGGATGTGGGTGAGGAGCTCAGAGAGGTCCAGCCGCCGCAGGAACTGTACAGGCGTGTCAAAGTGGCCGCCCCTGTGAACCGATAACCCACCCGGACTGTAATCAAAGTGGGCATTTCGGAACACATGGCCCCCGGCCATGGCCTTTTTGTGAGGCTCAAGATGGATGGCATTCTTTAAGAATTCCCCAAGGTATCTGGAGGAGCGGGGGCCGCTGAAGTGGGCAGGGGAGAGGATGGAGTAGCCGGTGGGCGGGGACTGGCCGGGGGAGCCACAGGGGGAGCGGCCCCCGTAGGCCCCAGCGCTGACCGCCTTCTCTTGGGAGTTCTGCCGGTCCATGGAATGCCGGCGGGGGAGGTCATGGCTCAGGCCTTTCTGGGGCTTGTTCAGGGGCCTGCACTTTTTAGCCTCCTCCACCACCTCGCCGGGAGGCCTCCCTGTGTTCTTCTCCGACCCTGACTTCTTCTTCTTCTCGTCCTGCATCCGCTTCACCTGGTACCAGTCCGTGTCCTTCTTTAAGTGGCCCTGTCCACAGCGGCAGGAGCAGAAGCGGAAGGCCAGGTCGTAGCCCTTCTTGGTCCACATGTTCTGGCGGCACTGCTTCTCGTTCCAGCTGCGGGCCCGGCCAATGCAGTTGAACTGGACCAGGATGCTGCTCTCCCACTCGTAGAAGCACTGCAGGTGCATCCAGCTGCTGTGGGGGCAGTGCTCGTTGTTGCACACCACCTTCTGGTAGTCGTCCTTCTCCAGGTCCACCGGCCTCCCGAAGCTGCAGATCAGGGGCGTGGCACAAGGGGCTTCTGGGGAGAAACACAAAAGAGACATTCAGCCCACAGGACGAGGGGTTCCCAGCTGACACCAGGTCAGAGACCAAATCCCACAGGAGCCCATTCATGCCAAAGGTACAATTTTTCTGGTATCAAGATTTCCACCAGGATTTATGGAGATTGGCGTTCCACTGGGTTCCTGCTATTTCAACGTCCATAATGTTTCAACAGGCCCCTCTGAAGGCTCCCAGGTGGGAACCACTGAGCTTGATCACAAAGGTGCCGCATGCCACGCTTGGGTTAGAGTCATCTGTTGTAGCTGAGAAGCTAAATGAGGACCCTAAGCCATAGAGCCCCTCGGCAGAGCTGTTTTAGAAATCTCATCCTGGTGGCAGTGTGGGGCGTGAGGCTGGAAGCAGGGAGGCCAGAGGAAGGGGGCAGGGCGTGCAGTAACCCAGGTGAGAAAGGACAAGCGTCTGGGCTAGACAGCAGCAAGTGACTCCCAGTGTTGGAGATGAGCAGATGCTGATGGACGGCGAGGGACAGGTTTGGAAGAAGACTTGGGGCTGGCCTGGTCTGGGCCTGCTGAATTGGAAGTGCCTGTGCACCACCGAGGTGGAGAAAGATGTGAATGGAGTTCAAGAGAGCTGGAGCTGTGGATACAGATGTGGAGCCACGCAACCAGCCAGGGAGGTGTAATCCCTGGAAAGTGAAGAGTGGAAAAGAATCCTGGGAAGCGACGACATTAAAACACTGGAGAGGAGTTCTCCGCAGAGACTGGTAAGGAATGAACGGAGAAGTCTATCAAGGCAGTCAGATGAGGCCTAAGAACAGGGGACTTGGACTGTCCCAGTGTGCTAGGTAAGATCAGTGTTTCTCACTCTGCACTACCCTGGTCATTGGGGGCTAGACCAGGGGTGGGCAAACTTTTTGACTCGAGGGCCACAATGGGTTCTTAAACTGGACCGGAGGGCCGGAACAAAAGCATGGATGGAGTGTTTGTGTGAACTAATATAAATTCAAAGTAAACATCATTACATAAAAGGGTACGGTCTTTTTTTTTTTTTTAGTTTTATTCATTTCAAATGGGCCAGATCTGGCCCGCGGGCCGTAGTTTGCCCACGGCTGGGCTAGACAATTCTTTGTTGTGGGAGTGTCCTGTGCACTGCTGATGTTTAGCAGCACCCCTACTAGATGCCAGTCACACCACCCCCTCAACTGTGACACCCCGAAAGGTCTCCAGTCGTTGCCAGATATCCCCTGCGAGCAGAATCACCCCCGGTTGGGAACTGCTGGGTAAGGCAAAGATGGAGAGGTCCTCCCCAGGATGAGCAGTGAGCCAGTCACTGACACCTTAGAAAGGACAGTTCTGGTGGGATGATGGGGGACAGGTGCGGTAAAAAAAGCAGCAGCAGTACAGATGACCCTCCAGATAGGCCTTAACCACAAGTATAACTGTAGAAGGAAGGAAAGAGGATGGGTGGGGTACACAAAGGCTGAGGCATAAGCACGTTCCTCAACTGGGGCAATGAATGCCAAGAACTCAGGGCAGCTTGAAGATCAGGAGAGGGAGCAAGCTACCAAAAACCTCAGCCTCATCACTGCCCATTGAATTACAAATTCTATTTCTCCCACCAAGCATCCCCTTCCGTGTGGGATTCTTGGGCCTCAGCAAAACGGCCCTAACCAACTTGTCTTCGTCCATGCCTGTGACCACTGTGGCCTCCCCATCTACCTCCTGGGAATCCACAATCCTTAATCGTCATTGGTCCAAATCCCACTCCCCTCGTGCAGCAATTCACAGTATGGGCTCTGCAACCAGGCTGCCTGAGCTGGAATCCCAACAGCACCACGGATGAGCTGTGAGCTCACAGAAAAGTTACTTAACTTTTCTTTGTGTCCATTTTCTGTGTAAAAAATGCATGTACCTTACACGGTGGTCATAAAGATGAACTATACCCATTCACAGGTGGTGCTTAGAGCAGGGCCTGCACAAATAACCCTCATCCCCTGCTTTCCAACCTTCAAGGTCCACCTCTAGGCACCAATGTCACCAGGACTCCCCTCTTCCCCTACAACCTGACCCTCACCAGCGCAGTCTGGTCTGAACCTTACTTGAGTCCCCATTCTGGTCCCCACCAGGTGATGATGACTCAGGAGAGGATCTCTGACTCGCCTTTGTGTCCCTGGTACCACTGGCCCAGGCCATACACACATCCAGTGCCAAATACAGTTGCATTAAAATGACACTGGCACATGAAAACCTATGTGACAAGCAGAGCAGAGGAAGAGAGATCTGCAATCCTAGATAAAGAGAAAAGACCTGAATGTACAGAAAAGAAGTAAAGAGAGTGGTTTGCAAACTGAGTAAATTAACTAGGCATGAGGTCTATGACCTTTAAAATCTTAATGAGTGAATTAAACAAAGTTCGGTTGCTTTTATCTTCAGTCCTTCAGAGGAAGAGACTTGAAGAGAGGTCTCTGAAATAGAATGGCAGTTATCAGAGTGATATTAACCCAAGACTAACGAAATCAAATTTAAAAAGGCCCTAACTATACTTTGCATTCATAATATCTAAAATTTAAAAATTTAAATGTTAAGATTGACTTGATATTTCTTTAAAAGGTATTTTCACATAAAAAAAAAAAAGGTTGGCTAATACGGAAGAAAATCCTATTTATATCTTTCCCAAAAAGCTGCAAATGTATCACTAAACTAATACTGAGCACTTCCTGCGTACCAGGTCTTAGAAGCAGGAAAGACGGCAAATCCTGCTGAGAACTCTAACCCATTCAATGTTCATCTTTCATGGTTTATGTTAAGGTTTTTCTGTCTTATTGTATCTTTTGAAAAGCTGTTCTTTCATTCAAACAGAAAACAGAAAGTGGAGGGTAGGAGGAAGAAGGGGAGTATCTTCCTCCTTTCCATCTAGGCCAGTGGTTCTCAACCTGTGGGTCGCGACCCCTTTGGGGGTCGAACGACCCTTTCACAGGGGTCACCTAAGACCATCGGAAAACACATATATAATTACATATTGTTTTTGTGATTAATCACTATGCTTTAATTATGTTCAATTTGTAGCAATGAAAATACATCCTGCATATCAGATATTTACATTATGATTCATAACAGTAGCAAAATTACAGTTATGAAGTAGCAACAAAAATAATTTTATGGTTGGGGGGTCACCACAACATGAGGAACTGTATGAAAGGGTCGCGGCATTAGGAAGGTTGAGGACCACTGCTCTAACAGAAGTATATGCCTACATCACAGAGGAGGTAACACTCCAAGTCCCTGTCCCTGTAGCCTGGTCTGTGATCACCACAGCCATCCTCACCAGCTTTCTACCCTCCAAGACCCACAACGAGGAGTCCCCACCCCAACCTGCCAGCCCTGCTTGTTTACAGCTCTGCCACTTTGATGTGGCCTTGTGGCTAGACCTCAAAAACAAAGACAAAGCCAAGGGCTTGTTTAATACCAAATACTTTGTGCAACAGACACCTCCCGCTGTTACACACCTCCAGGATAAGGGCAAGGCTCCCAGGATTAGGTGAGTCACAGGGTGGGCCTTGGGGACAGCAGAGAACTGCTGACAAGGCTTCTACATCTCACACAGCATTCTGAGGAGTAGGCTGGCCTCTACCCTCAAAGACATGGTTTCCTTTGAAGTTTGGCTCTTAACTCCCTGCCTGGCTCCCCTCTCCTTCCCCCTGTCTACACTGCAGAGGCATCTAGAAGGTGCCTAGTTGTGATACAAATAATACAGTGATAAATAATAATGCAAGATTAAACTCCGTGTTTCATGTACTCACAACTATAAACCTACTTCTGCCTACTCCTGTATACGTGGAAACACACTGTAAGCTGTCAAGTTGCATAAAAACCTTTCTCTGCTATCTTCAGCATAACTGTATACCTGCGTACCTGGCTCCCCAACTAAATGCAAATTGCTCCAATGTACTTCCTACTTTTCCTATCTAATGTTTTAGATACACAACAGGTGTTTAGAAAGTCAGTAAATAAATGAATAATGCCATGCCTTTTTTAACATTTCCTCAATAACCAACACATCTAGGAAAAGACTTTGTAACTGTAAGAAACAGCAGTGGTGGCATTCAAAATGACACGTGAGAAATTAGCAGTATTACCGAAACACCGGATTGCTTCCTGAAAGCTGTCTCTAACTTTACAAAACCCCCAGCTCTTAAGAATAGCTGTCCCATAAAAGGAATACAGGTTGATATGACACAACTAAACCTTAAATGGGGGAGCAGGGGAGAAGGGAATCCCATGCTGACAAGGGCTTGTGCCACATACATCCCTTGGGACATTAGTCTAAGCCGTGATAGCTTGAATAACAAGCAATATGGGAAAATGTTCCTTTATGCAGTGTCAGCAATTTTTAAAAACGTATATAAGCCCTCAGTGCCAGTTTTTACAGCTTCACCCTCAAATATTCAGTATTCAACATCTATTTGTCTCTGCCCAAGTAAAAATAATCAGGGCTCACCTCATCCTGGGCAGCAATCTCAAATAGTTTGAAGTCTGGACAACAGGATGACTAGGCTGAGGTCACGAGGGCAAAGTCTGTCACTCTCCCCAGCCTTCACATCCTCTACCTCTGCCTCCACCTATTAAAAGGGGAGTATCTGCCAGTAATCATTTACACTGGCTGCCGAACAAACACAATCCCCTTGACAAACGTGCTCACACTAACAAGCACTGTAAGCCAGGCGAGGCCATCTTCAGCTTTTTACCCATAAAATTAAGTGTTTCGCCCCTCTTAAAACAGTTGCAAGCATCAGGTAGGGAGTTTGGCGGGGAAGAGGGGTGAGGTGGGGACTTGGACCTACTCATCCTTGTAAACCCACTACTGCGAAAATCCTATTAGTGTTTCATAAATGTCTTGTGGAAGAAAAGTATGGCCCAATCAGATTCAGTACTCCAGGTGACCGCATGCTGGAGAACACAGCCTGACTAGGTCCAGATGAGCTCTCAAGAGATCTTCTATAGACTCAGGTCAGATGAG